TTTGTTCCGTTTTTTATCTGTTGTGACTCAGAGACTCCAAAAATATGCAACATTACCAATTATAGACTCTCCAACTACAACTGTGTTTCTAAGATCTGGCTGGTAATATTAGGACTTAAGCTATGAAAGATTTTATCTTGCATAAGAGAGCAAGAATCTGAATATAATTTTTTGCCTTCCTGGTACAGAATTTAGGAGTTATTTATATATATGATTTTTATAAAGGTTTAAAAATATAATCCTACTTGCTAAAAGGTAAGAAACCAATCAAGTTCTGTTGTTCCTCCAAGTCTGTTAGAGACCCTCTCTGATGCATTCACAGTCACAGAGCTAGAAAAGGAGTGCTTGGGGAGACACTTCTTCATGAAACACAGTCCAGGAGGTTTCTAGTCGTAACTACAACAATTCTTGTGTTAGCTGTTGCATCTGAAAACACATGGTCAAAATGCAAGACCACTTACTTTACAGCACACAGTGCACAAATTAAAATGGCAAGATACAGGAAAGTAGTGTAGCAAACCAAGAATTACTCCAATAGAATTTCTCTCTAAACACTTTACATTATGATTTCAAGAACAGATTAATCAATATTTAAAGGAAATTCTTCTTCAAGTACAGTTAAGCTTTGTATGCAAACTCCATGAACTGCACCTCTCAAACTATGGTAAACCCTCACTCTTATAGTTAAAGTAACTTTTCAGAAGTTTTACTTTTAGGACACCATGCAATAATAAATGTCATCATAAAAATTATTCTAAGGTACATATAGTGTGCAGTATAGGCTCTCAAACCATCATCTGTGGAGTATTAGTAGTATATATAGACAAATAGCTGCTTACACAGTAGAGATTCAGAAAGGAATAGCAGAAGATATAAAGAAAAAAGCAAAAAGATGATGATGCAGCTACTTTTCACCTAAAACACAAAATACCTACCAAACTACTTAAAATTAAAAATACATCAATCTTTCATTATTATTATTTAATATTTGCAATTGCAGGTGACAACATGGGATTGTGAATGGGAGGGAGCAACAAAACAGTCTTTTAATAGGAGGTTAATGCAATTATTAGGTCAGGGAATCCCTGAAGAAAAGGATTTGCAACTCGTAACTATCAAGAATCTTGACATTGTGAATGCTTATAATATACAAAAAAAATACCAGTGAGTTAGGAGATTAAAGTGATCAACTATACTTAATTTTTCAAGAGATGCTGAATTTCAGGGGCGTGTCCATGTTCCCAAAGCTTTTGAAGTAAGAGAGTTGTCTGGAAGTGGAATATTAGTCTTGACCTTCTTGAACGTTCCCACAGCAGGAGCCAGTGCAGTGCTGCACCTTCTCCACCGTGTCAAATGAAGGCTGCTATGCCAACTGAACTGAAGGTAGTGTGGACTATTTTTGGTTCTGCTGGCCTGCAGCAGATTTGTGGAGCATCTGGGTCTCCCAGATTATGGTATCAAAAATAGTTTGGTTTAGTCAGGTCACACTTTAGTTAGGAACCACCTTGAAGGTAAGCTCAAAGAATCTTATCTTTTCTGGAGCCGAGTAAAGTATGGTGCCTAGTTTTAGAATATTCCTATTTCAAAACTTCCCCATTTCTCCCTTGTAGACTGTCACCAATTTGCTGTAATAGGACCCACATTTGGCTTACATGTTTTTCTAAGACAGTACTTAGTCACTCATTCCAAGCTTTGGCCTCTAAGACACACTCCTAGGGGCAGATGTCCTGTCAGGCTTGCTACCTTGGGATGTGGGACTCTCTAGTTCCTTTCCTTTTTTCATGTCCTTGGTGTGACAAGGTATTCAGCAGAATTTGCAGATTCATTGGAATCTGGCAGGCTGCACTGTGAGCACTTCTGCTGTGGCCTTAAACTTGCAACCTCTGGGCTGTCAACTGTGCATCTTGGCACCCGTGCCACCACAACCCCCAGCCTCTCCAGTCACTTGCACACACTCCTCACAGTCCACGTCTATGGGTGCTTAACCCTAAGGATAGCTTAACCCTTAGAGGACACGTGACCAAAATTAATTAATACAGTCTTTGCAGAGGAACATTTAAAACCACAGTAAATTTCTACTCTTAGATCATATAAGAATTGTGGGTCTTTTGCTTAAAGAACAAAGGTCTTATATACGCTGAGTCCTGCCCTCCTTCCCATGAGTCTGTCATATGGACAAGCTTCTCTTGATTTTGGCTTCCTCCAGTCTTTGTCTGGTGGTATTTAGTCCATATAAAAAAAGGATTTGAAAATGGTTAAATCCTGCCTTAACATTAGGCTTGCAACCCTATTGTTATCCAACTCCCTTACTGCTTTCAGAGCCCCAGGCAGGTGGTTAAAATTCCTAGCTGGTATCCAACCAGTGAACCAGTTTATTTTAGCCTGGCCACTTACTTTAGCAAACCCAGTGTCAGGTATCACAATAAAATAAAAGTTAACCTGTCCTTGACAGTGACAGCTACATACTAAAAAGTCAAGTCTTCAAAATGGTATAAAATGAAGGATATTTTGCCTCAGACTTTTATCAACATATACCAGATCATCACTGTAAATGGCCTAACAAATCCCCATCTTTAGCCTGCTGGCTGCATTCCACCAGCTTGCTTTGTGCCTCCAGGATAATTCATGGCTCGTGAAGATAAGAATGGTTCCATAGCAGAAATCTTGCCATCAGATCTGCTATTAGCAGCTTGATAGCCCCAGCATCAGCGTGTGAAGGCCCTTGTACATGCCTAACCCTCCTGCTGTTTCATCCTTAATGGATTTGCCTCCAATTCTCAGGAACAATTTTAGATTTCTTCTGCATTTCCTGAAAAATCCCTGCTTATTTCTGGCAGAAATCCTAATATTGCTAGTAGATTTCAGAGAGCTCCTGTTTCCACATTCTTGGCTCCTCCAGTAAAACCTAGTTCCATATGCCGAGTCAGGAGTTCCTCCTAAAAAAGGAAGATCTTAAAAAACTCCTTACCAACATTTTTTATCAGATAGACTTTAGCAGGATTTTCTACATTTGTAAAGAGCTGTTTTACCACATTCCTTGAGACATCATGAAGCCCCTTCTTGCACAACCAGATTTGCTAGCTAAAGCAGCTGCAAGCTGTACCTCCCTGCAGAACAGTGATTAATTTATGGTATTAATTAATATATTATGTATGTACCTCCCCCCGCCCCCCAGGTTGTACATATGGTTGGAAAATCAAGCACCCTAAAGTAAGGAAATAAATGTTGCCTATGCACCTTAATTTATCATTCTCAAGTGTATTTACTGTATTATAATACAGTCTTTAATTACCCAATTACTGTTTTTCCCCCCCCCCAACAGGAACTCTGCCTCATTCTTCTGAGATGTTGTGTGCCAAATCACAGAAACATTATAAAACCAGGAGGTTTATGAAATTTAAAGTTTCTCTTTCAAAAATCCTGTACAGCCACTGTGAGATGGGAAGTTAAATATAAAATTTAGAGGCTTTAATTTCATTTAGTAAAAGCAGTGATTTAAAACAAACATACAAAAAAAATCAACTTGGATTTTATTCATCAACTTTCAATAACTAAACTTCAGGCCAACAGGACTGGACTAGACATAATGCTTCCATGTTTAAAAAGTTTAAGACACACTTTAGGCAAAAGATTCTTCTCACTGGGGTGAAGAATGAATCATAATCTGCCCTTCTCTTTCCAGTGGGAAACAAACAATTTTGGTGCAACAAAACTTGTAACAATTTGACTAAATGCTTGAAAATAGTCCTAGTTGAAGTCAATGAAACTGTTCATGTGCACAGTTAAGCACTCTACTGCAAGCTGGGTACATTTATAAGTAAATGATTAATTGCAACCTTAATTATAAAATGCATTCTCCGTAATAGACAATAATAGCAGTTTAATTTAGGCAATTTATAAATGTTAGTCCTCCTAAAATTTTGTACGATACACAAGTAAGTACTTATACAGTACAAAATATACACTGTGGTATACTAATGATGCTCAACATGTGGCAAAATATGCAACTTATTTTGTACTAACTTGATATCAACATTTAAAATTTGATCAAGATTTAAACATACTTCCATTTAAAATATATTATATTTACTATAGCTGGAACTGATCTGTCATTTTCTGGAAAGTGCTTTGACTGGTAAAAGAGGGATGGATGCATAATCTACACAGAGGTAGTCAGCACACTGACATTGTTCCACTCTCAGTTCTTTCATTCATTTCCATACAGTTCTAAGGGGTGTAGGAGATCCTGGCTTTGGAAACTTTGCATCACTGCAGAAGATTAGAAATACTCATTTATGAAAAGAAATTTAATTATTCCTGAATCCTGGTGGGATGATTCACATAACTGGAAAATTAAATATATTTGGAAACACCCTATGCAGGCAGGAGAGGTGAAATGGTATTTAGTATTTAAATGATATCAATACCTGCTTTGACATTACTGACAATACAACACAACAAAACCTAAAAGAGTATGGCTCAATGTGCCAACAGGTAAAGCACAGGACATGGGTGGGAGTTTTCTATAAACCACCTAATCAGCCACGAAAACAGGTTGAGCAGCTCCTTAACCTTCCATTTTTCTATAATGTATAAAAATAAAAGTTGTATTAAAACAGAATTTTTCAATTTAGAATACATGTACCAGAGACCAACTGCTACCATTTGTAAAATGTGTGTGGAGTGTCTAAAATGTATACAAAATATCTTGCTAACTGAAAATACTGAAATTTAAGTCAGGGTAATTCTGTGTTAGATGTCACTCAGACAGATAAAAATGAGTTATTTATTTTTAGTTGCCTGGGTGCAATAGATTAGAATCTAATTTAATCTATTAGCAAAAAATATATATAATCCTATCAAATGTGTGCGTGTGTATATATATAGTCTATATTTTTTAAAATTGTCAGCATACATTTAAAATGTGGGTACCTATATATATATATAACAGATATAAAGATCTATCTATCTAGAGAGACAGAGAGAGGGAGGCCTTTGATTACACACACACACACACACACACACACTAACTATACATACAAGTCTCTACGTCCTGTTTTGCATATTTGAGTATGGGTGTATTGATAAATAAAATTAAAAAAATATTTAAGTGAAAATGCAAGTAACGTTTGGGAATTATGTAGGAACGTTTTACGAGATAGTCCAAAAATATACCACTCAGCAAATCACAGAAGACTTTAATTAAAAAAAAAAAAAAAAAAAAGGTTAAATCAGTTGTTAGAGGCGTTCAAGGTATTAGTGAGAAACCTCTGGCTAAGTAGGACAAAAGATAATAAAAAGGAATTATTTAAACATGTCTGGAACAAATTAAATCCTAGCAATTGTAAAAGGAGGTCTCCGAAACATTCATTATGTTTTTTTAACAAGTCTTAGAAGACTCAGGTATTTTCTACAGACTGAAAATGAGCAGTTACTTACTCAACACACAGCTGTCCACGTGCAACTTTGACTAGAAGTCTGCATGAGACACTTACTACACAGCAGCTCGCTACTACTGCAGAGTAGTTCATTAGTATTATGCAGTAGCATTACTAACAAACTAGTAGTATTACTAACGTGAACCGTGACATGTTACTCTGCAGTAGTAACGAGCTGCTGCATAGTCAACATCACCCAGAACTCGTGTGGGGACACTACTGCGCAGTCAGTGTCTCGTGTAGATGAGGCCAGTGTGTCTGAACTTCAAGGGTTAACAGTGTTAGCTGTGGTTAAGAATACTTGTAACAGCATATATGCACTATGGCATTCTCCACAATTTTATACCTAGGACATACATGGCATGCTGATTGTACCTTAGTTTCCTCTCAACTAAGTAATATCCAAAGCAAAGGGGATACAGAATAGATTTTGTAATCTGAATATGGACAGCATACCTCTAAAAGCTCCAATGATCATTAAGATACTTAATTTACCATTTTAAGGATAATTCTATTGATACAACACAACACATTGTATGCCTATGCAGTATATTGATATTGGTGCATATGCTTGGGTCCCAAGTATCATCCATGTGAACTAGGAAGTCTAGCACTTGAGCCATACATGGCTAGGGAGAGGTGAAGCAACTCTTCTACCCAAAATCACAGGAGCTTTCTATTCACCACTTATCATTTCAGGGATAACAGGTGCTGGATTTCATGGCACATGGTATGCACCTGTGTCCTGGAATTGTCCTTTAAATCCTTATAATGCTTAACAGAGATGTACATGCCCTCTGTAGCACCAGAAGTTGGTGAAGGTATAATGAGAATGCTCTTGGATGAAACAGGAACTTATCTGTAGTGCTATATTTTGTAGCTCAACATGCAATTACTGCACAGTGCACTGTAATGTGATAGGGGGTCTGTCATTCTCCAATTATCCCTCAGCTCTCTGCTCTTCCCCTTCTAAGGGTGGGAGGGTGAGTGGAGAGGACAGCTAATGGCTGGGAGTGTGGAGAGAACAGCTAATGGAACTGGCAGGATGTTGTTTATCATCAGGGTTGGAGAGCAGACTCCCTAGGAGCCCTCCAGGGGGGCGAGAAGCAGAGCTTCAATAAAACGCAAGAAGCTACGTCTTGAGCCAGAAGGCAGTGCGGAATTTGGTTGCTGTAGCATACTCTATCCTTGGTGTGAATCACAAAGCATGGCAGGTGAGGTGCATTTGATGAACTTGCTCTCCAAGTCTCTTAACATGAGCACTCTCAACAGAACATGCATATGGACAATTATTTAAAGGATAATATGCATCACTGTCAGGCATAGCTGTCTTGCAAGCAGACCAAATTTGAAGATTTGTATTCTGCCATTCCCAGTTCTCTGTACTGATGCAAAAAAAATAAAGCTTTTACTTAGCCCTTAATACATTTCACTTAAGTCTGCTGGCTAAAAGAGAGGCTATTCTACCCACTAAAAATGGTAATAAATTAACTCAGTGATGGAATATGCAGAGGGACAGATAATTTATTACATTGGGTAGTGAGAAGTAAATGAATGGCAAATGGGGCTACTCCACCTTTTATATCCTAACAAGAAGGGACCCCCTAATACTACTGGCTAGTAGATAACAAGATCACCATATCTTGCACGCATACACCTACACCAGGATGCATGTGAACAGTTGCTTAGACTTCTGGAAGGCATTTAATTAGCCATATAAAACATTTTTATTAAAAAAGGTAGCAATGTAAAAATCAATAAAGTGTACACTACCAATGATTAACTTAAGACTGCAAACAGCAATTGTAAATGGCCAATTGCCATCAAATAGGTACATTTCTCTTGATGTCCTACAGAGCCCAATTCTATTCAATATCTTTATCAATGATATAGAAAAGTGTTTTTCAACCTTTTTGATCCTGTGTCTGAACTTAACACCTACAAAGTGATCTATGGAATCTCGCAAAATGGAGGCAGTGCAGTATAGCCATCTTAGAACAGCATTATCCAGTCTCTACAAGCACGCCCTCTGGAATTAGAGGCAACACAGTCACATCAGCGTAGATTTGGGCCCAAGCTAATTTGCACCGTCTCTTGGGAACTAATATTAGGAATGTAGCAACCTTGGCTCCCCCAGCATGGTGCTTCAGCATGATATTGCTTGGTGCCATGAGAAAGCCTGGTTGTTCACTCTGGCTTGGCCACCCTACTGCGTTCACACTTGCCAGTAGGTGACAGATCACCCGATGAGAACTCCGACATACAGATAAAAACGTATAAAATCATTGCCAGTGAGATTTGAAGATGACAAAAATTGGTAGTATAGTGATGGATTCAGGTCAGTTATACGGGGGGCTTGAGGAAGGAGAGGGGAAGGGTAACAGTGCCAGGGCAGCTTGGGTTGTGGGCAGCATTACCCAGGACACAGGGCCAGAGGAGCCCAGGGTGGGAGACCACTGGCCCAGTGCCACAGTGGGCGGCACTCAAAGCCCTCTGGTGCTACTTATCCAGGGAGGGCTCCTGATACATGCAGGTGGTTGGCCAGGGTGTCGCAGATTCAGACTTGCCCTCTTCCCCATCCCTGTGCTACATGTGCTCGTGCTGCCAGGCATAGTTTGCGTACCATGCCTCCTCAGCCTAGGTTTTGCAGATCTCCCTCTGGTCTCTCAGATGTTGTGGAGGATGCAAGAGGTGACATGTCACGTTCTCCTTGTCTGCCTTGAAGTACACACTGAGAGCCCATCAGCATGCCTTGACAAGGCAGATGAAGAGGTTGGGCAGCATGTCCTGGATGACCAGGTACACCTCCCTGATGGTCTCTCTGGCATGGTCTTGTCCATGTTGAGCTGGCTGGAGATGTAAAAGTGGTGAGGGTGGCCAGTCTCACAACTGTGATGGCCACCTACTTCTCCAGAGTTGGGGGTGGCTGCATGCTGATGTTCTGGCACATGATGTGGGGGGCCACCTTGGCAACAACATCTGTGAAGGTGGCCTGGTGCATGCAGAAGGTCTGGAGCCATTGTTTGACATCCCAGGTGCCCAGGACAATCCACACCCATCAGGTGGTGCGGGCCCAGAAATGGCACTCAATTGTTTGGAGGTGGTGCCAGAGTGCCATGGCATCCATGGCATCCTAGATGGCCTCATACTAATTGGTCGTATTAAAGTGAGTGGCCAAGTCCAAGGTATTTGGCAGGCGTGGGGTGCAGAGGGTGGGCAAGCATGGGACAACAAGCTGGTGGCTCACAGGCATGAGTGCATGTGTCATAATAAGCTACTGCCAAATCAGGTCTGGGTGGGCACATCTGATGTCCCACAGCCTCTGGCAAGAGTCACACAGGGAGACCATCAGGATTCACTTAAGCTTCCCAGTCTTCTTGCTTAGGCATGGGACACCATGATGGGGTGCACGCAGGCCAGGACACAGGCATGCACAAGTTGCGTCAGCAGGTACTCACCCTGGGGCTCTCTTGGAAGCCTAGGGCTGGTCATGGGGGAGGGTACATGGTGATGCAGTAGGGGGTTTGGGGCATGGTGGCCTGTGCCCAGCAGCCCACCAGGGGTGGCTTGCCCGTTTGGCTTTGCTTGGCAGTCTTCAGCAGCTCAGGGAGCCAGCGGGGCATGCTGGGAGGCACGGAAGAGCCCCTATCTGCTGACCTTGGGCAGTGAGAGCCAAATGGCAATGTCTGTTTGGTTCAAATGCTATCTAACTTATAGCACTTTTAGAGTAAAGCATGATAAAAGCCCATCTGTGACAGGCTTTTTGAATGTCTGTACTTAGCCTTAATAATATTTTCTCTTGGCATTAGTAATTATTTCTTCTACCTAAACAGGGCAGTCCAGAGTGTCCTCTTTCCAAAAAGGGATTCAGACACTTTTTAAATGACAATCACATTTCACCACGTTTCCGACCACGTTAATCCCAACACCACACTGTGCTGGCAACATTCTCTATATTGCAGCAATTTTATTGCAAAGTTTGAAAATCTTCATAAATAAAAAAGGCTGTATTTTAAGCTTTTTCCACATTCAGAAACCTAAAAACTCTGAAAAATTTTAGAAATAAAAGCTAACTATACAAAAATTAGACTACCAATTTTTACTTAGGAAATTGCTGTTGCTACTAACTGAAATACATTTATATCTTCTATCTGTATAAAAATCTTCATATTAATTTGTAATACAACATGAATATTTCTTTAAATGAGCTTATTCACATTTTTCAATACACAGTTACTTTTCAACAAATGTAATTGGTCTATGCCTTTCTCTTCCGTGGCGTTCCATTAAATTCTGATGTAGAGGTCTGCATTTGCTGCTGCTGTTGCTTCTTTGTAGGAGAGATCCATTCTTCTGCACTAAATAAAAAATGTATAGGGGTTCACAAATCAATTCTAGAATAGTTATAAAGGGACAGAACCTCAACTAGCATAAATTATTACACTTTATGGAAAGGTATGACAATTTACACTAGCTAAGGTTCATCCTCAAAAGACTTCAAATGCACTGTCTGTGAAGTTTCTGGCCTAGACGGACTGTTCTCAGTGGAATGTCTAAGATAAAGTCTAATACTAATACCGTAAACAGGACACTGTTTTACTTAACAGTTTTATAGTTAAATTGATAAGAATGAGGGGTGATACCAGAGTAATATAACATTTAGATACCTCAATTGACTAGCTAGTTAAGTCTTGCATTAAGACAAAGTAAAAGAAAGAAAAGGACAGTAAACACATGAAAATGCTACCAAAAAGTAAGGCCAAGATGTATTTTTCCATGGAAATTTGGATGGCAAGAAACACAATATGCCACTCACTTCCTGCATATAGTGCAAAGGGACAAACTGAAGTGTGTACTAACGTGCCAGAGTGGTGGGGCACAAGTAGAAGCATTACGAAGATCTGCTACCTGTTCTCTATGCCAGCATGTGGTACTACAGATCACATCCCATAGAAATGTTTGGCACAGCCTACATGGGAAGGATGCCTCCTTATAGCACGTGCGCTCAATGTGGACTAGCAAGCTAAGACTGCTGGGTGTTGAATTTAAGGTGTGAAGGAGTTGAAGATACCAGGAAAAGTTGAGGATTTGGAAGAATACTGTGATGCCAGCCAATAACCTCAGACGGAAGTGGAACTTGAGTAGTAAAGATTTTCTGTAAAGCTTTCATGACAGTACAAGCTTGGCAGGAAGTTTTAACAGTCTTGGGAATTCTCTCTCATGCACACAATCTCTATCTGTTTTAATGACTGGTCACTGTACACTAAAGTTAAAAGATATTTTTAAAAATAGTTTGTTTCCTGGGCAAAAATAAACCCATATTCATTTCTAATTTATCTAATGGAAAAATGATGACTATTCAGAACAGACCTACCTATATAACTTTTTTACCATTTCTCTTCTCATTCTTTTGGGAGGAATGGGGCTGTCCGAAAAATCAAGTGTTGTTGGTTGAAATGATTCAGAGCCTTTATCTGATGGGGTCATACCTTCAAATAAGGATAAATAGGAACGCGTTAAAAATGGTTATTTTTACCTTGTTGATTATAAAATCATTCATGAAATGAGGCAAATGTGTTTCAAAATAAGTATGTCTTGCTATTTGATACAGACTTGTTGTCTCCTCAACATACAGAAGTGATTACATTCAAGGAACACATACCTAAAACAATTACTTACTGCACACTTTACTAGTGGAGTTTATAGATTAGTGGGAATCAAAACTTAGTTTTCAAATATATCATAGAAATCATTTTATATCAACTCAATACATATTTATTACATTTTGAAATGTTATCATAAAAGAATCAAGATAGTATTTTCTTAGTTAGAAAACATTTTATTCTTGCTAGGAAAACGCATTAGTTGATCTCTTTGTTAAGTGATTTGAACTAGCATCTTTTCCTAACGCTGGAAAGCAAAAAAATAAAAATGTGTAATTCTTATTAGTGAGATCATAGTCTCATGTTCACAAGTCACTTTAGATAATAAAGGCGTGACCAGTAAAAGACACCCTTTTATGCAATGTGCATCTGGTTTTTCATGAACACTTAAAACAGCTTTTGTACTTTTTTTGATCTTTAAGAATTAGAAGCTACAATTCAAGATTCTAATTTTAAGCTAAAATAAAAGCCCATGTTGGGAACTAAGTTTTAAACCAATCTTTAGCATATTTTGTCTTTGTGGTTTAATTTTTCTAGTATTTTTAACATAACTACATCCAGATGTACAGTACTCTATTAGCAGTTCCCCTTCAGAGACAAGTGGGTGTTAGCAAAAAGTTCTTACGTACCCAGTTTCTGCTCTACTAGCTTGAGATTTTTCTCTTGTTCAGCAAGTTCCTGTTTTTTCTTTTGCATCTCTGGAGTTTTCAGGGACTGTAATTGTGAATCAAGGTCCTTATTTGCACAATTAAGTTTTATCACTGATGTACGGTATTGCTGAAGAAGTTCTAATTAAAGAAACAGAAGATTTCATAAAACACACAAAACAATAAAATAATGAAGGCTATTTTTCAAAACTGGCTCTCAATAAGAGACTGCCAGGCATAATACAAGGAAGCCATCAACATAAAGAATCATTCAAAATTGTTGCAGACCCCCTGGAACTATAATGGTTCAAAGGGTTGCGAATAGGCTGAAAAAGATCACATCCAACATTCTGAAGTTATTTTTTAACATAATGTGTGATAATTTGAAGTGCTAGTTTACTCTGAAAATGGCACTTTATTTAACTCTTTTGCATTCCAAATCACATTTGCTAACTTTGGTGACAATAAAGGTGGGTGGGTATGGTATAAGGAAGCACTAGTGGTACTCAGGCTAATTCTGGTACCTGTTCAGCAGTGCTAATTAGTACAACGCTGCATGTGAACCAACACAGGGATACCGTGGCTCGTTCTAAAGCTAGGGTGTGCTGAACTAGCTCAGATATCACTGCATGGTGTACAGACATATCCTGAGGGGTTTTAAATATTTTTATTCCTTCAGCACTACAGAATTCAAATGCGAGACTTGAATGATTTGAATCCCAGTCCTGTGAAATAGACTGTTTGCTAAGCAGTGTTCATCGCTCTAAGCTAGTCTGGCAGCAGGAAGTTTCAGCAGTACCTGCCACTGTCAAGCTACCAAAACACAGGTGTACGCGTGTGCTTCTGGAACTACATGGCTCTACTACAGCAGCCATACCAGAGTGCAGAGCAGTCTGAGAAGGCATCAGCTGCTACATGGATTGTGGAACCAGCTGAAGGCACAGAAATATCTTCATATGCCTTTCAGGGAGCTGTAGGGCAGTGGCAAAAGCCTTTCTCCACTCAGAAGAGGTGAAGAAACTCTGCAGCAGAGTGGAGAGTTTTGTTGCCACAGAGTAGATTCATAGATGTTGTTGTTAGGGTCGGAAGGGACTCAATAGATCATCGGGTCCGACCCCCGGACTTCAAGTGTGCATGACCTTAAAGTTTTGCCAAGGGAACTGGAGTTCTGCCTGTCAAGTTTTGTAGTGTACAGTAGGCCTGAAGTTCCTTCAGTTGCACCTATGAAAACACAGCAAAGACAATAGGGCAATGCTGGTGCAAACAAAGGATTAATTTGACTAATAGAATGCTTACTGCTGTTGATGCATCAGATAACTAAATCATGTTTCTTTAGCTGAATATGAAGAGTTAGTAGTATAGTACATAGTTATCCAATTCAGAGCCTGCAGGTTCCTGAGCCTGACCACCAGTCCCCCGTGCTGTATCTAGTGTGCTTCTGCTTTCTTTGGCTTCTGCCTCTTGCTCACACAACCTGTACAGCAAGGGGTTAATGATGGGGGGGGGCAACCCATGGTGTGCAGCCCATGGCCACTCAAAAGTTCAACAACACTGGCTTAGAAGATATATTATTTTATTTGGTTATACAGCATGTTCAGTGCTGAAATACTTGAGAAATATTAAGAAGGGGCTTTCAAAATGCAAGTTTCAATGATTTCTGTGAAACATTATAGACCGTTGTTATCAACATAAAATAGGATACCTGAGCACAGGCAACAAGCAAACCTAAAACCACAAATACAAACCAACACAAATAAATGTTCATTGCTATCAGGACAGACAACAGAAAAGTAATGGAGCGATCAAATGGAGAGAGTACAGTTCTCTTTGACTTTCATTAGAAACGACATGCAACTAAAATACTAAATTTATGTAGCTGCTTGATTTTAATTATTGTTCTTTTGCTGCAAGTAAAGATAGGATGAAATGGTCTTTGAACTGAATTAAATTAATGTCAGGATTTGGAACTCAGGATTTTGTGTTCCTGTCTGATGAAGCTTTTAAGACCCTATTGGCAAGTCCTAGAACACTACTTCCTGCAAAATTTCTACTTTCTTAAGAAGAAACAGCTAGAGCTAAGTGGGATGGTTTAAAGATGGGGAATAAAGATGGGAATACTGCACCTGTACTGGATGTTTGAGTGAATGACCTCATAACCAGAAAGCAAGCCCTCTCTATTTTTTAATCCAGTTGGGAACCAAACTTAAGGTTTGCTTCAGATATTAAAACCTAAGAATCACTCATCTAGCTGGGTCCTGAGCAGACTCATCTAGCTCTAGGTCCTGAGCTGACAGGACCTTATCCTGCTGTGCCCTGCTCTTTCCACTGTCTGCCCCTCTCAACCCTTGGTTTATACCTCATGGGCAAGGGCAGCCCCCACACACAGGAAGAGTGGAGAGGGTAAACTGAATTGGAAAACACAGCTCTGTCCAGGCATCTGCCCATCTATCTCTTTGCAGAGGAACATGCTGCTGGGACTGTGTATGGAGGGGAGAGAGCAGCACAGGGGCTGCCTGAGGATGGGGAAGGCAGCAGCTTTTAGAAGTGAAGCCACAGGCTCTGCTGGAGTAGCTGGGGCAGGTACAGGGTGCCAGAAGGGGAGGAGACCACTTGCCTCCTCACATAAGTGTATCACAAGATCTCTCCATGTCATGCTCACAGCACACTACTGCTGCATGCCTCTTGGCAATCACTAGCTTATACTGTGATACAGAACATTTAGATCAAATATCAAGGAAGACTAAGAGAAAGGGCAAGACTTTTTGATGGCAGGGTTGTCCAAATGATGGCTTTGGTGACCTGTGAAGGGTTAACACCCAGCTCCTAGGCTTCCGGCAGCAGGTAGTGCAGTGTGGCCCTTGGCCGCTCAGAAGTTGGACAACACTGATATACAGGATGTTTTATGAACAGCAAATCCTGTGCATCTAGGAAGGTTCCTTCTAACCCTGGGATTCTTTGAAATGTCCTTTTCCCTTCACTTTTCCCTCTCCTGAAAGCAAGGACTTAGGAAGGGTACAGTAACCTTGTTTCTGAAAAGTTAAGTAAAATAATTTCACAATATGAATACATATACAAATGAATGTACTATTATATTAAAAGGATTATGGAAAATATAAGAAATCAAAAGCTGCAGTATCTTACAATATGCTTGTTTATCATTAAGTTATTAAGCTAAGTTTTCTGAAAAGCAGCATCTAATGATATGAGTAGGTGTAATAATCCAATAAGAAAAGTAACAATGGCTGGATAAGGATGCCCATTATCTATTTCAACATCTCTGCTTCATGGAACTCAGTGACAGAACTTGATCTGTATGAGATTACAGTATAAGTACGTTTTCCTATCAAGACAGGACTTAAGAAATCAACATTTTCCTAGACTTTGGGATTCAACCAGTTTATTCTCTCAAATTTATTTATTTTTTTCCATACTTCTCTGTGAACAAGTAGCACCTACAGGCACTCTCTCACTAACACAGCAATAAGAGGGAACTTCTCAGAGTTGTTTTTTGTATTCTTTTTCCTGAAGACAAACCATGATGGATTTTAGAAGCCAAATTTTCAAATACAATTTGAATTCACAAACGAGTAAGTAATTGTATAGGTATTTTCTTTTTTAAAAAGATCTCCACAACTTTAAGCCTTATGTTCCACAAAGATGTGTGCAAAGAATATCACTTTAAATATTATTTGATACTGTATTATTACAATTTTAATCAACCCACCTAGCTGCCCAGAGAGCATATAGTAATGTTTTGGCATGGGTGCACCAAATACCATTCCTCTGAGTTTGTCCATCGGTGGAGCTTTATTTTGAAGGCCTCCAAACTTTCCATTACTGCGAATTCTATCTCCTTCCCTAGTCAGCAATGTTGGGCAATGTGCAATTTTTACAACCTATATAAGTATAAAGTGATACTAAATTAGTAAACCATTTAAAAGAATGTAAAGATAGGTATACATTCCAACAAGGTTGGCTCTGTACTGAAAAGTAATTCTTCAAAAATTGCACCATGATACTGCATGGATTATTCCAGCTCAATAAATTATAGAGCAATCATGCTCAATTTAAAAGTTAAAAGACCTTTCCTATTACTCTTCCTGTCTTGGAAACTCAGAGACCCAGAAGATCTATGCCCAGTTTTCTCCTTGGTTCTTGGATCGCTACTAGCAAGTAATTCCAGACTAGAATTTGGTCCTGTAATTGGAAGGCAATCATCATCATCATCATCTATGGATAATACATGATCTAGAATAAGAACTGATTTTTCTAACTGTGCTGGCTTTATAGAAATAAAATGTACTCTCTCAAAGTCAAACAGAAGTGACTAAAATTCATTCAAAGTAATTTTTGCTGAGAAAATGGAAGCACACTTGCACAGCTACCTTTTAGAGCAAAGTGGTACTTTAACTGGCATCTATTTTGATAATTTATTCATGCATAGTGAGGCATTCATATTATAAGGCAAAGAAAGAAAGAAATGTTTATAAATATGTAAGTAAATCATATGCTTCAAATTCTATCCAATTTTATGTGGATATACAAAGAGTTTCTTTCTTCCAGTGCTTGGTTCAAGGGCCAAGATCAATTCTAATGCAGGTAACTGATACTGTACAACCATGACCCATTCTCTTCACAGACAGACAGACAGAAGAAACCCACACCGCACTGATTCCAAATTGATAAAGCTATCTAATTTCAGATCTTGCAGGGCCATAGAGTTAACTGGATGTTCTTCTTGGGATGCCCACTGCAACATGACCCCTTCCTACATATTTCTGGTTATAAAAGACATTAATGAGCCCTCAGGGCTTGACATACAAACAGTTCAATTCTATTTATGAATACTGAATCAATATGTAAATAGGACAGGAAAAATTCTGAGGTTGAGATACAAAGTGACGAGTGATGGAACTTTCTTAGAGGATGGCCCATGCCTGCTGAAACTTGCTTCTATTAAACCTCAGTGAGCTGTGTCAGAATACAAGTCTACTCAGCTCCAGAGATATCATCTTTGTGGATCCCAAATTTCTGTTGCTATGTTCACCAAACCTAAAAAAGAAGAGTGCCTCACAGCCTAACTTACGTTTTACTTTAAATATAGGAAATACAAAAATCACTGAAAAAAATCTAATTAAAATTCTAACAACAGATTTGCAACAAGTGTATGTTTTTGAAAACATGAAATATGGCTGAGCTTTCCCAAAAGCATCTGGCTGAATTGAAGTGATGGTCCATATGTGAAAGAGCATTACAGGATTTTTAGAGGGTGAGTTATGTTCACAACCAGCAAATCTTTGCACTGCAAGGGCATGGGCTGTACAGTCAAACTGATATATTGGTATTCTCTTTAGCGGAGTCACAACTCTAACACACACACAAGCAACTTTAACACAGAGTCTGTGGATTTCAAGGAGAGAATAAAAGGACCCGGCAGCCACCATGTGGCCAACTCTAGAATATGTCCCATGTTGTAAAACAGCTGGAGCCAACATTTTTGGCAAGCGCGCCACATATTAGCTGTGTACACTCTCCAAATGCAACTCCGATTCCCTTCCTTGGTCTGATCTCCTGTCCTGCTTTTTGCCCCACACTCCCCGCCTGATCTGCTCTGCCACCTGCTTCCTCCCCCCATCTGCTGTTGTGCTGCTTGTCTCCTCCCAGACCTTTTGCGTGCCACACCCAGAGGCTGCCTGTGCCACTTGTGGCTCTTGTGATGCAGGCTGGTCACCTCTGTCATACTGCAACATTCACATGGTAGTATTTTGTTTAAATAAAGCCCAGATTAGAGAAAATTTCATTGGCATTGATACTGTAGACTAAATGCAACATAAAATGCATTGAGACTTAAACCTGGAAAACATTCATGGGCAGAACCTGAGCTGAAATGCATCAAAAGTCCAGTGGCATAGATGCATGTATGTAAGTTTAAACCAGGCAAGAATCCATCACTATTTCTAAGCATACTAAACCTGCAACATCATAGGATTTTATTCAAATAAATATATAACACCCGAAACTACATTACATACCTCTTTTCTATAATGATTGGCAGCATCCAAATTGTCTATTATGATGGTGTCTCCTAAGAGCATCCCGAACACTGTAAATTTAATGAATTTGTAAATGATGAAAATTCTCAGCAACAAAAAAATGCTAAACTATCCATATGAGCTATGGGGCCCAGATGTCACAATTGGCAAATGATTTTACAAAGTAGTACTTTGCAGCTGGAAAATATTAATTTAATTTATTTCACAACTGATTTCAGTTTCCTGGCATTAGGTTGAATGTCTAAAATAATGAGGTATTTAACCCCTCCCCCCCAATTATATTGTAAAGATAAGAGAATAAATATCAAAAACAGACTGGTGATGGTGCTCACTGGGAACATTCACAACAGTTGCTTTCAAAAAGATTGACTTGAGTGTCATACTCTTACTACCAAACATTATTTGGTGAAATCACTTAGTCAAAAAAGCAAATTTGAGAAGAGTTTAGCTGAGCTCCCTGAACATATAACATGTACAATCTGATAAAAGCAAGAAACTATTCATCTCCTCTGTTTATAAATTAAGATACTAACACTTTTTAAAATGTCATTTACCTATCTGACAGTGTTCTATATTATCTGGAAATGTTAACAAATCTCTGGCAAATACAGGTTTTCCAATCGGTTTGAAGCAATCTTTCCCATTCCGAAAGTGAGGTAAAGGCCTGATTAAAGAAAGCAAGCATGACAAATTACACTTCATTTTCTTTGACAAGTCTAATCAGAAACAAAAATATGCCTGATGCACATATTAACGCTGCAATACACTGAGCTCCAAGTCACCAACACATAATTAAGCTTCAAAATGTATTAAACACTATTAGGAAATTATGATTCAGTGTTCTATTAATTCACATATCTGAATCAAAGATTTTTTTTTGGCCTAGATTTGATGCACTGTTTTTATAACAGCTGAGACTCCAGACATTTTAATACATGGGGAGAAGTAACCAGTGACATGAATATATGTTAGGAGATGTCGTGGCCAGCATGATGGCTGAAAGGGACCTCAGGGTTATGGTTGATCACAGGATGAACATGAGCCACCAGTGCAACGCTGTAGTCAGAGCTAATAGCATACTGGGATGCATTAGCCAATGCATTGTGAGCAGGGCTAAGGAAGCAATACCTCCTCTCTACTCAGCACTGGAGAGACCCCAGCTGGAGCACTGTGGCCAGTTCTTCTGGGTACCGAACTTCAAAAAAGATGTGGAGAATCTTGAAAGGGTCCAGAGAAGGGCCAGAAGAATGATTAAGGTCCTGGAGGACTAGTCTTATGAGGAAAGACCAAGGGATCTGGGACTGTTCAGTCTGGGGAAGAGATGACTGAAGGGGGACTTGGTGGCCATCTATTTGTAAGGGGTGAATATTGGGAGCTGGGAGAAAAACTGTTCATTGGGGAACCCCAGGGGAAGACAAGGAGCAATGGCCATAAATTGTTAGAGGATGGTTTCAGGTTGGATGCAAGGAAGAACTTATTTATGGTAAGGGTGACCAGAATCTGGAACAGACTTCCTAAGGAGGTGGTGCAGTCCCCAAGCTTGGAAGTCTTCAAAAGGAGACTGGACAGGCACCTTGCTGGGATCATTTGATCTCAGTAGTATTCTTGCCCAGAGGGGTTGGACTCAATCTTCTGAGGTCCCTCCCAGCCCTTAATTTCTATGGTTTTCTATGAGTCTATGAATACATTAAAAGGCAATTATACATTCACATAAAATTTATCAGACAAATCCTCTTTTGGAATATGGCTGAAAACTGAAAATCCACATCATGTCTCTTTCTTTGAGAAAATGGATAATTTATTATAGTTGAATTACAATCTAATTTTAAGGATTATGAAAAAATGTTATAATTTAGTCTCAAAGCACTAAGTATTAATAAAAATATCCCAAACACCAGTTCTATGTATCATAACTTTTTTCAAAAAATAGTTTGTAGACTGTAAGAGAGAGATAGATAATAGAGTGGGAGAGTGAGAGGAAAGAAGCTTAGTACTAATCACCTGTCTTCTGAGACAAACTTCTGAAATACAGAACAATGCAAAGTTAAATTTACAGAACAAAGATTTTATTTAACACTTCAAACTACACTGCCACCAATAAACATTTTAATACCAGAAGACATCTTATTCATAGAGTCATAGATTGTAGAGTTGGAAGGGACCGCAATGGATCATCGTGTCCGACCCCCTGACCCTGGCAGGAAAGAGGACCGAGGTCAGATGACCCCAGCCAGGTGACTATCTAGCCTCCTCTTGAAGACCTCCAAGCTAGGTGATAGCACCACCTCTCTTGGAAGCCCATTCCAGATCCTGGCCACCCTTACTGTGAAAAATTTCTTCCTAATATCTAACCTAAATCCACTCTCAACTAGTTTACACCCGTTATTCCTAGTCACTCCCTGGGGCACCTTAGTAAACAGCGCTTCCCCTATTCCCCGTTGCCCTCCCCTAATAAATTTATAGGCAGCCACAAGATCTCCCCTCAGCCGTCTCTTGTGAAGGCTGAAGAGATTCAGTTCTCTCAACCTCCCCCCCGTAGGGTCTATCACAAAGGCCACTAATCATGCGAGCGGCTCTCCTCTGGACCCTCTCGAGATTCCCCATGTCCCTCTTGAAGTGTGGCGCCCAAAACTAGACACAGTACTCCAACTGTGGCCTGACCAGTGCTGCATAGCCTCCTTTGTTCTATTAGTCATGCACCTGCTAATGCACGACAAGGTGCGACTGGCCTTGTTGATGGCCTCGTTACACTGCCAGCTCATGTTCATCTTGGAGTCAATTATGACTCCAAGATCCCTCTCTGCCTCCGAGCTGCTGAGAAGGACACTCCCCAATCTATAATGAGAAGCCTATGTGAATGTAAAGTTTAAACAATATTAGGAAAAAAGAGAAATCAAGAACAGGTTTGCTAGGAAGACAAGAAGTACAAATCTTTTTTAATACCTGTTCCAATCAGGGAGAGTCTTCTTAAATATAGAATCAAGAGGCAGCACTTGCTGTCGACCTTGGGTTTCATCAAAGATACGACGAGCAGCTTCAGTAGTCAGGGTGACTACACAGTCCATGTCACTTGCTAAATGCCAAGAGATGACTTTTGCTGCCTCGTTATCCTCAATTTGTGCTAAATGTGCAATCTACACCACAAAGGTAAAAATAATAATTGCTTTTGGAGACAAAATTATTTCCCTTTTCCCAGCTAAAGCAATCATAGCATACAGGCTAGGTACAGAAGTTCAAAAAGCCCGAGGCGGAATCGATCCAAGTTACGTGGCTTTCTGTAAGCAGAGTATGCTAGACTGGTAGTGAACAGAGCATGCATTCACCCTTTGATAAAAGATGCAACTCTTAGACTGGGTTACGCTATTTTTAAACCAGTCTATGTGTGACAAACTTCTGGTCTGTCATGGGTAGACTGGTTTCCAATCACTTATACTGGTAAAAGTATAATGTCTGTACCTAAGTCATAGGGAAGTAGGGTTGGGAACGGACCTCCAGAGATTATCTAGTTCAAACCCCTACCTGAAACAAGATCATTCCTTATCTAAACCCATGGTTCTCAACCTTTTTTGTACCAAGACCCATTTTTAAACATTGATGGCCAGTCCTGACCCAGTGCCCCTCACTCTCTACCTGTTCCCCCTCCCCAGCCCCTAGCCCCCCAGTGTGTGGGGCAGGGTGTAGGTGTATGGGGCAGGAGGGGGAGGTATGGGGGCCCCTTTGCAGGCTGGAAGTCTGCCAGTCAAAAATCCGGGATTTCACATGTTTTTCTACTTTAAAGGAAAATCCATTTTTAAAGTTTCTTTATCCATATTTAAAGTTTGTTCGCAACCCTTTCATATATTCTTGTGATCCACTTTTGGGCCACAACTCATGGGCTGAGAAACGCTGATCTAAACCATCTTACACAATTCGATCTGAACTCAATATAAGAATATCATCCACCCTGACAACACAGATCTAACACCCCTAACCTGCCACTGGTAAAACAAGGGAACCATGGCACCAATATCCTGCTTCTATGAAATGCTGTCAAGACATTTAAGAGATCCTGGGTAGAGAGCCACACCCCCTGCCTACAGAGGAAAGCAAAAACACCCACAGTCCATACCCATCTGACCACGGGGTAAAATTCCTTTGTCCCCAAAAACAGTGATTGGTCAGACCCGAGTGAAGGGGCAAGTCCCTCTAGCCAGGAACCTCCAGCTTTAGTCCCAACATGAGCACTGGAACACCCCAGTCAAAATCCCCAGCCTTGGCTGTAGCCAATACCCAATGTCTCTGAGGAAGGCTTAAAAACACCCTAACACATGTAGCAGAAGGGTCAGCGGAAAGGAGGGGAGGGGGAAGAAGAAGGGTAAGGGACAAGCGGCAAAGCTCACAAGCCTGGGAAATACCCGTAGTAGGACATAGGCATGGCAGATCATTCCCAACCAGTGGCTGTCCAATCTCTTCTTGAACACCTCCACTGATGGAGAGTCCACAACTACCCAGTACTCTATGCCACTGCCTCACTATTCTAATAGTGAAGAAGTTTTTATGGACATCCAATCTAAACTTATTTTGCTACAACTTCAAACTACTAGTCTGCATCCTCCTTTCTGCAGCAAAAAAAAAAAAAAAAGTGCTTTCCCTCTTTTTTGTGGCAACTTTTCCAGTATTTGAAGACTGCTATCATGTCCCTTTGTAAGTGCTTTTCCACAAGCTGAACATACTTAGCTCCTTTAGCCTCTCATAGCTTTCATAGTGTTATGATTTGTATGCGTTGCTTTCCAAGCCCTTTATCATCTATATTGCCCACTTTTGTTGCTCTGCCCCCTTGTCTATTGCAACCATTAATCTCTAGTGCCCATATTCCAGCCCTATCTGACAATTCTGAAAGTATTTTTGTTTGGATATTTGTTTAAAATCTTGTTTATCAAGCAGCTTGAAGCAGGTTCTCCGCAGTCATGGTTGTCAATACTCTCTAATGCATAGAACTGTACTGGAAAGTATTTTGGAGAAACTTACTTTCCCTAAAATATCTTGATTGACTTTGGAATAGTTTGGGAGGGTACATGTTCTCCTAGGTTGCTTCATTACTGCTTCCTGCTCCAGTATCTTTTGTTTTATGAGAGAATCAACATGCTGCAGCTGTAAATTAAAACTGAAAGTTAACAAATGCATAATTTTGGCTCAGTTTAGAGACTTTACTTAGTTCTACAGATTCTACAGCACTACTAAAGCATTCAACAATCTGGATCAGTCTGGTTCCAGACAAAAACAAAAAAGAAAGTTCACAAATGTGCTTATGAGCCCTTCATTGAAGTAATTCAGCTAATTATAGCATGTTCTGTCAGACTAGCTGATTGTGTCATGAGAATCTGAAGGTGCCTGTCTAGAATGAAGACAGAAGAACTAAAGAAAGCTCAGGAGACAGCAGGAAGGACTGTATCTCTATAGAGAAAACAAATTTTGGAAGCTTAATATGCACATGGTTTAAAACAGGGGTTTCGAACCTGTAGCAGAACTGCTTGATCTGTCATATCAGGACTCGAGTGGGCCAGGGAGCTTGGAAGTGTGGCCAGCAGTGGGCGTGACAAGCTGCAGAAACGAGGGCCTGTGGGCTGTGATGGATACAGCCACTGACAGCAGGTGCTGTTTCCACCACAGCAGGTGGCTGCCACAGAGGCTACTACTGCCACCATGCCATGATGGATTGGCCCAGGGCACAACAGGAGTTTGACATCCCTGATCTAAAAAGTTCAGCAAGTATAGGAAAAGCCATGGGTCCAGACTGTTGAATGCACAGTTACAGAAACAACTGATTTTACTGATTTGTCATGAAGGGCTATATAGGTATTTATATTAAGTAATATCCTGGGTGTTCACCTTTCTTTTCAATGATTTAGATAATAACCTTTGTAATTTAATTTAAGATCTCTCAAATTTGTTAAAATGTAACCACTACTGATGTTGCATCTTAAATTATTAGTCTAAGTTGAGCCTTGGTCAGTAACATGCAAAATGTATAATCATCTGACAGTAGTTTGACAGCCCCACACCAGAAAAGGTCTGGCAGTAGAAGTTCTTTGGAAAGCAATAAGGAGCCATGTCAGAGTTGGCCATTTTGTAAGGCAAGGACCAGATATGGGCAGAAACTGAGCTATATTTCCATCCTTCAAGGAAGGTTTGAAACATATTAACATAACAATAACATAGTTTTGCTGTTCTTCAACAGACATGCTTTGGTACTACTTCATATAAGTGTGCCAACTGGTTTAGAATCTAAATATCTGGGGGAGGCATGGTCAGAAGGGGAAACGATTTTTTTTTAAAAAAATCATTTGATTTTTTTGATGCAAACTACTGAGATTTAGTTTTATTTGCTAGGTGATAAACATGTGGCTCTGTGAAAAAAAGGAAATGAAAAAGTCATACTATGTTTGTCGGTGGTATGCTGATTTGATGTTTTTTCAGCTCATTCTTCAGATGAGTCTCTCTCGTTTCAGCTTCTTTGGCCTGACCTGAAACAATGTTATAAATCAACAGTTATTCAGACAGGTAATGCTGAAATGAAATGGAAAATTGGCTATATTAGGAGTGATCAGTCTGAGAGCCAGAGATATGGGACTTACATTTCCCTTCCAGTATGGACTTGTGGCACCAGAGATCTGTCCAGAATGTAAGCATTTTTTTTCTTCAAGTGGATATGTCCCATTCATATTAAAACAACTTGGAAAATAAGGTAGTTTGGCAGTGGGAGAATAGTGTCAGCATCAATTTCTGCTCCCCAGATGCCAAATTTCTGGACCCAGGGGAGCTCTGTGGGTCATAAAACATGGCCACAAAACTGGATCCTGACACACAGGATCAATCCAATATGCTGAACTATATCCATCGAACGATCCTGTGTGGGATCCAGTCTGCAGACTGCCCCCACACTACTGATCCAGCCAATGGGTGCCATCATTCTATTCCACTTGTAATGAAATAGAAATGTTCATTTTCACTCCCGTGAAAAACAGGTCATTGGCTGAAGTGCTTAACTTTAGGCATGCTCTTTTGATAATTCTGGCTTAAGAAATTTTTCCTCAAATCAACAGAATGGCTAGATATTTTATATATAAAACTGCTCAAATAACCCAATGTTTCTCTCCCAGTAGAAATTACATTCCCTACAATAAAAAATGAACTGTTTAATTTGTTTCATTTTTCATTGTTGATATTTATTATCTTTTTGCTATCAAAATCATAATAAAAGCATTTTATGCCTTAAGTTATTTATGTAAGTGAAATGACTTACATTTCATTTCAGTAACAAGCTGGTTGCTGGTTTCAAATAAACTCCTGTATGCAAGTATTGATTGAGATAGCTGGTCTCTCTCTCTCGTAAGTGTTGCCATTTGCTGCTGCTTCTTAAAATCTAAATAAAAAAGTAATTTTGTTAAACCCAGTAACAACTAAATACTATCAACGTATACATTAAAAAGTTACCAAACGTGATGGGTAGGATTATTAAATGAGCATTATGGATTTTTTGTTTTAAAAATGGAAATAAATCTTTAGGTTTGAAAGAACAAAATAAAGACTTAAGTTACTTATGAAACTCACTATTGTAAAACATAAAGGACAGGCGATACGGTTCCAAAGGTTTTTCCAAACCTGGCAGGTCTGGGTCAAATGCAAGAATATATTCAGTGCTATCTCTTCCTGGGCTATTTTCTGCCAACACTAGATTCTATGGGGGAAAAATATATATTACATTACATCATTATACACATATCCCCAATGTCAAAGAAAATTTAGAAATATTTTTAGATTCAGTTTTACAAGCTCAATGGAGTTGTATTTATGAAACATGGGTATATTTTTAAATATTGGCTTTGAAATGTATCAGTAATTTAATGTTATTCAAATTTAAAAAAAAAAATCTTAATGGAAGTTTATTAAAACTTACAACATAAGTTTAAGAACTAAAGTACCAGTGTAACCTTTTAGTATAGTGTTGTAATTTTTAATATGTTCTATTTGTGAGAAGAAAAATTCTGAAAAATTATAGTTTGAATTTCCCCACAAATAAGACTGGCTTAGAAGTATTGGAATATCTGTGTATCATTTGAAAACAATATAAACAAAGTAATTAAGCACAAGATCAAATGTATGAACAGAAATGAGGAAAACACTTAACTCCCAGTGCTAAGTTAAAGTTACTGCTGTTACCATGGAAGCAGACAATATTTCCCATGTGAATGAACATGGTTTTCTGACAGGTACATAAATCATTTAAAAATTAAAAACCATTTTCTCTAAATTGAAAATCAACCATTTTCCAAGCACTATTATATTTTAAGAATGTCCTATTTATTCATAATTTCTTATAGAGGCATACAACTAAAATCAGTATAAGTAAACCTTAAAGGAATTATACATAGAATCTTTTCCAGTCTTAATGAGTCCTGGTCACAATACATTTCACGATGATTCCACTGCTAACATGTATAAGATTTCTATACTAGACAAAAAAAAAAAAAAGACCCACCATTCCATTTATAACCACTGTTAGAACCCCACATTTCTTCAAGAACACTTTTAATATTGATGAATTTCAAATGATTGATAGACACGTGATTATCACTTTCACGAAATAATATTTCTGGAACACTCCTCAAAAATAAAAGTATCGCTAAATTTCTTCTGCGCAGTTTTAAATGCATGTATAGCTAATTCATTTCTCAACTAATAAATAAATTCATATATAATATATAATAGGCACAACTCCAATTTAATTAAATTTAATTCAATAGGTCTAGTCACATACATAAAGTTACATACCGCTGTGAGCTCTCAGCTGCTATAGCCAGGGCTGATTACTTAAAATACTGAAAGGGGAAGGATATAGGAGTTACTAGAACAGGTTGTTAGTGAAGTACGTAACAATCTGCTCAGCAGATGAAGGTGGGGGGTGGAAAGGGAATTGGGGAGGGGAACAGGAGCCACTGTCGAAAACAGCAGAATCTCATGAGGAGTGTGAAAATAGCAGGAGAAAGGAAATACAAGGATGTGTAAATGGAACAGAAAACAAGACAAAACGTAAGAGACGATAAGGTGAAGACAACTGTAAGTTGTCAGTTTTGCTTCTAAGGCAGGAAAACTAGGCATGGGCATGCCAAATTTGCTCTTAAAGGCCAGCTGCTGGAGCTCAGAGACAGAAAGGGCACATCTACATTTGCACTAATGGGCCTTTCCTAAGGTGCATTAAATTTAGTACCTCCAATGTGAGGTACTAAATAAATGCGCATTAGGCTGCCCTAATGCGCAGTACCAAAAGAGCATGTTTTTTAAGTGATGCTTAAATGTGCAGTAGCCTATTTTACTGCGCATTAGTGTAACTGTATTTTTTAAGCGATGCTTTAATGCACAGTAAAATAGGCTACTGTGCATTAAAGCATGTGTGTAGACACTCAAAGTTACTTATTACTGCCTCCAGAGCCTACTCTGAGAAACTACACCATATTTTCCTTCAGACAGGGGCCACTCCATGATGACGGCTGCTTTTCCTCAGAGTACAAACTTTTAAATACAAGACAAAGTCCCTCTGCTGTCATGCTAGCACTATGACCTATCAAGCCAAGTACTTTGTATTGCTATATACTTGTGCTCTCTCACACTTCCCTATTTGTAGTCTTACAGACTGTAACTTGTTTTTATTCCATCTTTGTACTGGCCCTTGTTCAGTAGGATCCTAGATGCTTTGGTAATACAAACAAAAACAAATATTGCTTAAAACAAAAATAAATTATAAGTCTGAGATGATAATATATTTAGTGTATGATCTATTCACAAATTCCATTGCCATGTTTCAAGAACCCAATAACTTTTCCAAACCCACAAATAGATTACATTAGTGGCCTGTGAGATACAGATTAGTAGCTGATTAGTCAGATGATTTAACAGTCCTTTCAGGCTTTAAATTCTATAACAAAGAAGTTCTATTCAAAACTAAAGATATCATTAACATCAGAGAAAAGTTATTATATTACTTTATATAATTTACAAGTATAAATACTTTATATTTATATTAATCACCTATAAAACCATTTTTTGAGATTAGTATACTTACTACAATTTCAGCAGATCCATAACGAAATGGAAATTCTACTGTACTAACTTTCCCTTGAAACAGAGGGATCTCTGTATCGTCTTCATTAGGACACTCAATTTTAGCTATTATCTTGCCAGCCAAATAGTCTCCTGTACGATTGTTGTATTCATCCTTAATTAAAAAGACAAAAAAGAGTTTCTGTGTAGCTCATGATAAAAATTGCACTAAACAATGCTAAATATTATGACAGACATCATTAGATGGCACTGTTACACACAGTCTTTTCTTAGCATCTAAGCAAATGGTGAGGCTTGTTAAGGTGTACCATGGCGTGAGTTTTGTTATGTAAAGTTCTAGGTTGATGCAGCAGTCCCTGGAGAGAGAGGTGTACAAACAGCAGTTTTCTCTCTATGCTATTTTCTAATTAGCATCAATCTTTGAGAAAGCTTTTCTTTGAACGAGGGACTGGTACTGGGCTTGTAAACCTGTGACAGGATTGCCTACATGTTGTTTAACCACTCAGTTCCAGGACTGTCATGTGGAAGCAAAAACAATTACACCAGTAATATATTCAGATCCCATGCCACCAAGTTTCTTTCTTTTGTGAAGCCAATTTGCAAGGCCATGGAACAAGGCCAGAGTGTCTGAAAAGGACACTAATGATGGAAGATTGAGAATTACATAGCCAATTCTTTGCTTGCAGAAGTATTCCATCGATGCTATAGTGTGTTCTGCTGCGCCCCCATGTTTTTCTGCTGCGGTGACTTCTAATAGTTAGCATTATAGATTTTAACAGTGGCTGAATACCACATTAACATCAGAAATCTATTCAGCTGCAAAGAATTAAAAATGTTACTCACCCTATAGTAAGTATGATCCTTTGATATGTGCTGTCCACATGAATTACTGGTTTAACCCCTCATGCACGTGAAATTAAATTATTTTGGGCTGGGAGCATCTACGGAGCTGCACTTTTGGGCCAGGTACAGATACTACACTTTTAGTGGTATAAATGATCTGACACCAGTCAATACCCGTAACAGAACAAAAGTTCAGCGCACACAGGTTTGTTTAAAAATGGCAGAACCGGGTCTAAGATTTGCACCCCTCTCCCACCAAAGGGCAAATGTGTTTTGCTTGCTACCGATCTAAACTGCTTACAAAAATTTGCGTAACTTAGAACAATTCTGCTTTGGGCTTTTTGAAGGTCTGTACCTAGTCTTCATACCCTTATGCCTCCCACTCACCGACATAAAATGCAGCTCACTGCTTTTGGCAACACTGAACCTTACACCTACAGAGGTGCAGCAACAGGGAAGAGGTGCAGCAATAGGGCTTGGTTACAGAATCTGTGTACCACATATGTAAAAAACAGAGTTACTGAAATTGTTTTTTTTCTTCTTCAAAAGACCGTCTACCATGGACCCAACTTCCAGACCTGAATGTTAGGAGCAAGGTGCAACTTAAAGACTGAAGTGCATCTCTACCAAAAGTGGCATCTGATCTGGGATGAGTTTACTCAGGATTCTCAATTTTAACAATATCAGCAGGTGGGCTTGTGAGCCTTGGCTGTCATAAGAGGAGGATTGTATCCAAGAAGCCTAGCCTTATATCCCGTCTGGAGCAGAACATAATGTCTTTATTGTTCTTTTTTCTGAAGAAAGAATACCCCAAAATAGGTCTAGTTTTGGGTATTATTGTTTCTAAAATTTGTAATTTTCTTGCATTTCTTTTTGGCTCAGACCAACAAGGCTACCACATACATCCCTGAAACATGGAAGATGCTGAATTTTAGCCAATTTTGGATTATAAACTTAATTGCTGAACAAGAAAGATTACCACACCTCCCTGCCATCTGACACTACCAGGGAAGAAAACCTGCTTGATCTACACAACAAAGAGCAAGCTCACAAAGACTCTCATGGACCCAGGGGGACAGTTTTCCAGCTTCTGCTTCCTTTGTGCAAAAATGAAGTTTAATTTCCTACATATTAGGACTTTTTGCCACCTTGAACTTTCCATGAGCCTGATAAAGGGCACATATGCCCAAAAGCTTTCAGAAAAATATATTTTTTTGCAATTTCTCAGTTGGTCTAATAAAAGGTATCATTTTGGAGCCAAGAGTTCTAGATTTTTGCATTTAATTTCTTTTGTAAAATTTGAGTTTTCGTTTGACCTCTGAAAATTATATGATAGCTGATCCATTAAGACATTTTTGCAAGCCTAGAAGATACAGAGCCACTAATGTGAATACGATTTGATGATGCATGAACTCGCTTCTGAGATGACCAACGTTTTAGCAACAGCGGAAGTGACTACACTGTTGACTACAGATGTAGGGGATGGCTGTGATGTTTTCTATCCTTGCTTGGACTGCTGCTACCTAGCTAGAATAAAAACGCCATGCAGGCTAGAGTTCTGAAATGTATAAGGTAAAGATGAGGGAAGCAGAAGACTTCTTTATAAAGATAGTCTAGGTAAGTTTTGCATCCTAAAGTACAGGAATCTATCAGCAATTTGGTATGTAGTGGTATATAAAAAAAAGTATTCCATTGCAAACATGAAGTTGGTCCTTCTATAGATCTAAAGAAGACTTCACATGTTACCATCACTTCAATTCAGCCAGATGGTATTTTCAAATCAAGGTGACGCTTTCTAGATGGATTAGGACAATTTCAATACCCTTCTGTGAAGAAATGGGGAAATATAGTATGTTGTTTGATATAGTGCAAGAAGCCACATGAGGAGTCTGACATATGCTGTGCAGATGTTTCTGGAGAAGCCCAAAAATGGTTGATGAACTATATCATGGTCTGGCAACTCTCATAGTTGATAAGCTCTTGTTAACCTTGAGACTAATGTATCTTCAGTTTATATACTGGTAGCAGAATTGTGAAATTTTCTCTGCTGGTCACAAGCCCCAATGAGGTAAAGAGCCCTAGGATCAGATGAACGACGTTGGTTATTTGCAGGAAAGAGTTCCAATAGATGAGTCAATCATCCAGCTATAGGTGCATCTTGAACAGTAGTGTGTCCCCAGTGACGAGTAAGAGGTATTTTCCCTGTCCAGTTTTCAGTGGCAGAGTAAAATAAGAACTACAAAAAAAAGGAGTTGTGAGCCATGCTTGAGGATTAACAAGCAGGTGACTGAAGCTAGGGTTAACATCATAAACTTGAAATTAAGCTATCTGCATGTAATCAAGCCTAGAATTAGATACCAACTTCCATTTCTTCTTTGGGATTGAAAAGCAGAGGCATGTCTTCCAGTGCTTAAGATTGCGTTGCTCTAACCTTTTGTTTGAAACGTCTGTTTAAGCAGCTTTTCATGAGAGAAGTCAGTCCCTGAACAGGGTGGGGACAGGAAGCACCATGGTAAGAAGGGACTAGAATTTAATAAAATACCCCTTGCTTATGACGATTACTTAGGAGTATTAGATATTCTCGGAAAGTTATAAGAGGTAAAGCTTCACTGCTTGGAGAAGCTTTGGGGTCTGTTTCTTCCTTGGAACTAATATACAGCCAATGAGTGGAGAATGGAATAGAATCCTAATGAAAGAAGACCACCACCAATCTGTGCAGTAAATAGTGCGCAACCCCCAAAAAAGTCAGTGTTCTGTGACAATTTTGACCACCCTTGTTATTCTAAATACTGAAACTAAGAGTCAGAATTGCAAACAAACATTACTAAACCTGTTAAGAAAGCGGGCTAGAATCCTTGCTCTTCCACTTTTATAGTTTCCTCTCTAGAATCAGGAAGACGTTTTGATTTATCTTTTGATTCCCTGATCCACAAGCACTATCTGGCTTTTGCAAAATTTTGCAAAGGATTGATCCATTCTTTTGAGTCTTTGCAAAACTGTCTTGGAGCTGGGGACAAGCACTGTGAAATAGGAGCAGTTGTGGCAGAGCTCACCTCCTGTGGCTACTGTGATGATCAAGCCTTCTTTTGTACTTTGAAGGAAAGGTGGACATCCTTAGAAAACTTGAACTCTCCCAAAAGAAAATCGAAACACCAGAGTCATTTTTAAAGCTGCTGTCAGGATGAGAAACTAGGATTCCTATCTTATAAATGAGGTTCTCTAATCATCTCAAATAAAGACTCAGACCTTCACAGAACACCTTAATTTAAATTTTTACTCCCTAATTGACACACAATTTTTTTGGGAAAAAAAAGTTTTTAATAAACTTAATCAGCTGTACAAAGTATTTTGTTCTACTTATTTCACTTTGCAAGCTAAATCTAATGATAATATTTTACAAGTAAAGTACATCACGTTTATAATAATTTATTGCACCAAGTAAACTTTGTAGCAAAGCATGATTACCATTATATGAAGGCATAAATTCTTGACCAGAGTCCGGCTGGCAACAGCTTGAACATTAGACACTGCCGGAGTAGCTGGTGGAGGTTCAGGTAGCAATCGCACTGGGTCATTAGGTACCACTTCAATTATTATCTTAAGAAATAAAGGGGAACAACATAGTACATACTTTTCATCTATAACATGCAACTTGCTCAACAATAACTAAATAAATATAATGTATAAGCTAAATTATATTCAAAGTCTTATAATTTACAGAGCCATAATGCACATCTATACTATTTTATAAATTATGCAATTTAAAGAAATTGGAAGTCATCTTTTAAAGGAAAGCATAAGCACGGTATTTTTTAAACCACAATACACCAAAAATGTACACAGTCAATCCAGATTACAACTTGTTAGTTAAAAAAAACCAAAAAAATAAGCTTTGATAATTAACTCTGTAGTTTTTTACTATAAAAACAAAATTACTGCTTTTCCAAAACACAAAAATTGTAACAAGGTTTTGGTTAAATCTCTCCATCTATTAGTTAATATAAATGATTCACACACATTATTTCCTACTATATGTGCTTAATTATGTAATTAATCACCTGTTCACTGTTGAGTATATTTGTCTTATCTAGCGCAAAACCAAACTGGATGCTGTAATTCCCCACTCTCTCTGGAACCATTTTATCCCTAAGTTAAAATAGAGAACATTAATACTAAGATTATAAATATAGTGAGCAATTCAGATCTTATATAATTCTGTACTTCACATCCTGTAAAATGTTGAAACCTTTTAGACTATAAGAACCCCATAAAGAACCAGCTGCTAAAATGGATATTGGTAATTTGGCTGAGGAAGAATCTCTGTGGAACATATTACATTCTGCTTTTATTTTTTAAATAATAAAAAAATGAAAAAGCACAATGGACAAAGCAGTCCCTTTCTACCTCTCAACAAATGTGTAGCACTGAATTTCCCTGGTTTTATTAACACACGTCACAAACACAATACTATTCAATCAGCATTTGAAGTATAATTGATAACTTTTCCTAAAAGTATTACTTAATATTGGAATGACTTAACATTTTAATTAGCTATAATACACACACACACTTTTTTGGATTATTCCCTCTTTTCACTTCTCATATAGCCTCTCTGGAGTAGTGTACCAGAATTATTTTTCACACTACAGCATGAGGTCTGGGCAATTGAAGGTACTGTCATATGACGGCATATGACAAAGAGACAATTCTTTTTAATAATGGGATGCAAATTGAATTAACAGAAAGAGTATGTATGAAGAGTGGAATGTTGCTTCATTTGCGTGGACATGTTTCTGCGGGAGAAAGGGAGAGCCTGGGAGGCCATTGTACAGGTCAGTGCCCCAGAGAAACACTTTCCAGCAACAGAAGAAGGGGGGTATTGTAGCTGAATACTGATCTTTGCCATTTCCTCAGAAGTTGATAAAACCAGCAACAAAGAAACGGGTACCTTCCACTGTTGCTAGTTATTGCCTTAATAGATTCCCTTTTAATCCTGACATCAAATAAGTGGGAAACTATGGAAAGGGCAGGAGGCGAAACAATTCATGGACAGTGAAGTTGTCGCACTGTTGAGATCCTTTTTCAGTTTAAATGTAAACAGCGTCTGGCTTTATCCAGTAGACTAAAATGAAATGGGCAACTAAAATGAAACCTCCACTGTCTATTTACTTAAACCTCCCTCCAAATTAGGGGTATTCTAGCTTCAATATAGGTGAACCTAAAAGTTCCTGGGGATTGGCAAATTATTACTAAAACACCGGTACTAATCTCAAGGTGACAAATTTCTATTCTTTTCTATGGGTTCTTATACCACATGCATCACCATAGTATTTCATGGGTGTCCAAGAGTGCTTTAAACCAGTATGATTTTATGCTATCACTTGTTTGTTTGCTCCTCTTCTCCCCTAGGGGAAAAAAGCATATACAAAGCAGTCTTGTTTGGGTGAAATTTTAAAGCCTTTTTGAATATTCCTGTTGCTATGTATTTGTTAGACACAGCAACTTTCACCTGACATAGGTGGTGGTGAGATTTGAGAGGGTACTTAGGTTTTAGGGAGTTCTTTCCAGAGTCTCTGACAGTACTTTCCAAAGAGTTTATTTCCCCACACAGTCAGGCTTTACCCTTATTCTACAAAATCATATTGTATAAAAGGATGGTAGCCATCAGTCAGTTTTCAGAGTGAGCCTTTAGAAAGCCTTTTATATCCTGGGTTTAGACTCTAGAATACCTTGAAGACAAACATTAAGACCTAGAACCAGCGCTCCCTCTAAGCTGCATGGTTGCTCAGGCGTGCATGGCAGCGTGGCATGAGCATGCCTGTGCGGCCACGCAGCTTAGAGGGAACACTGTCTGGAACCCAACTGAAAATCCAGTGGGGATCTGGTGTTTAGGACAGGTCTGATGTACTTCCAGTGTCCTGGGATGTTAAAAAGTTCCACACGCGCTAGATTTTCTTAAGTGCTTAAGTCTTCATATCTAAGTATGCTGCACTGACGTAATCTCATTGAGAAGTGAAGATGATGTGAATAACTGAAACAACATCAATGGTCCATCAGAATGGGACAGAGTTTCCCAGTCAACTGGAGCAGATCAAAAAACTTATTCATAGATGCTGCTATGTGAGAGTTTGGTGGAAAGGAATCAAAACGTACCCCTGAACTACATGATAAATTGAACTGTAGATATGTGATTTCTACTAACAACTGTAAACTATTTATTGTTTTCCTCTGATCATCGGCATCTTCCCTGTCTTACTCAGGCTCAGCTTCTATCAGCTGCTCTTTATTGATGAGCTGATTTTTCCCCCAAACATATTCATGTTGGTAGTACTGGTGTGGTTATACATGCTGAAGGGTTGGGAGAACTTTGCATCATCTGCAGCTTGCTAGCACGAGACCATGTCATCAGGCCAATCATCTAGTGGCTGCATATAAAAACTGAAAAAGAATTTACTTGTGGGACTTCACAGCTAAGGGGTCCAGTATTGGAGGTACAGTTCCCCATCACTACTAATTGGATGTGTCCTTAGGAATGACTAAAAGCATCTTAGCACATTACTGTACACTTCACAATCCATGAGATGCATCTGATAGTCAGAAGAGTGCACGAAGGATACCACTACATTTCTGTTTTGTCATGCCATACCCTTGAACAAAGCAACTCTTTTGATATTAATGATCAACATTAAAACAACAGTTATGTTGTTAATACTTGTTCTATTTGGAAGCATAAACTCCAAATAAGTAAGTAAAACCAGAAACTATGAAGTAAGTTTTGCTGTACCTGAAGTAAAAGAAGCCTTCATCTTTGTCATCCTTGACTTTGCTACAGGCAAATGATGTAGCCTGAGAAGAATGATGTAAAAGAAATTACATACAACATACTTGAAATATGAACTTACATATTACTTTTAAATAGCATGTTAAGCCTTACTAAGCATTCTCCAAATATTATATGTTATAAAATAACATTTAAAAATATTAAAGCATTTTTTGAATTGAGAAAACTGAACTGAATAGCAACAGCATAGAACAGCGCCATTAAAGAACACGATACAGAAGCCATTTTAATATTTTTAACCCTTGCAACCCAGAGATGAGGGATATACTTAAAAACTGAACAAAATTCCATCACCAACAATGCCAGAAAAATTACAGAAGTTGAGGCAGAAAGAGAAAAAATTATTTGTTGGCAAACCTCCCCAGCAAGTAAGTCTGTGGGGGTAGGGGCAGGGCAGATCAAGGCCCCAGCCCTAGCCCCAGTCCCTCCCTTGGTCCGACCCTCCCCCCGCAATGGCAGTGGGACTGGAACAGGGGCCTGCACAGCTGGGACGGCTGGAAAGGAGCTGTGAGTGGTACGTGCCGGGGGGGGGGGCAGTGCATGCCCCTGGAATTGAGTGGGGTGGGGCGGGCTGCACCTGTGGGCTGGGCTGTTCGTGATAAGAGGCTGGGGACATGCTGGGAGTGGGACTACAGGGGGCTGCAGCCACCCAAAAATTAACTGTAGCCCCCCCAAACACCTCTCATAGTGCTGCCATCCAGCCCAACTGCAGTGTGGCCCCAGCCTCCACCGGGAACAGCCCAGCACTGCCTCCACTGCTGGTAGGTGTTGTAGGGCCTAGGCCCCCGCTTGACCAGTGCTTTGCTCCCCCGCCCCGGTTTGTACCACCTGTGTTATCCGATTGATGTTCTTGCTTGCCTGCCATGACTTCGATGTTCTTCTTGGGGGATGGTTCCCGGCAGGTGGTCTGTGGAGTCTCGAGCCTGGGCTTCTTCGTGGGGCTCGAACTTCTTCTTTACCCCACCCGTACCACATCCACAGCCAAGGTGTACTCCACTCTCCATAGGTCTCCTTCACAGATAGTACCTTCTCATCCATGTTGTCCCACTTCTGAGGGTCGGCAACCTTCTGGCTGTCAGCTCTCCAGAAGCTGTCCTTCATTTATGGACTGTGGCCTTTGCAACTAAAGCCTGCCTCCATCTTGAGATAACAGCAAACTCATGAATACTACTAAAAGAAAGTAGGTCAGCATCCACTGATGGGCCCTGGATCTTGTTTCTCAGGCCTGCAGGCCCCTGGCTGGGGCTTTCTGGCTCCCCCTTCTTAAGAGCCCTGCTTTGGCCAGGCCCTGGGCTGTTGTAGCCCCATGGCCCCGCATCGCTGCTTGTCCTGACAGCTGCCACCATCCCTGGCTCTCACCCCTCCGCAGAGGTTCCCTGCCACTGTGGTGGGTCTGCAGCATTCTGCTCGCTCCTCCCAGCCCCAGTGCTGCCTGCTCTTCTTCCCGGACAGGCTCTGGAGTGTGCCAAAGCTTCTCCTGTGCCGCGCTCCATGTCACTTCCGAAGCCGCCTTCCGGAGTCGTGGCCGAGTGTGCCAGGGTCTCCCCGCTGCTGCATTCCATGGTGTTTCCTGGTCTTCTCACCCAGGTACCTGCTGGACCTGCTGGTGTCTCGGCACGTCCCTCAGCTCCAGCTGAGATGTTTCTCTGCTCCCAAGCTTGACTTTGCCTGCGCTGCCCTCAGATATTCCTCCAGTCGCCTTTTTAGCAGTTTGCTCTTCTCTCTGCCCACGTCCCCTTTCCCTGCTTATTTGCAGGCTCAGGCAGCTCCTAAACTGTTGCTCCTGAGCCTGCTGTCTTGGCATCTCACCACAGCTGCTGCCTCCACTCCCCCTGCAGTAGGAGGGTCGCTTACTGAGTTTTGGCAAGCCATTAAGGGCCACATGACAGGCAGCCAGGGGCAGATTAATATTAATTTTCTAAATTTTTTAGGGGCTCCCCAGGCCGGATAGAATGTCCTGGTGGGCTGCATCCGGCCTGCAGGTTGCATTTTGCCCTCTCCTGATATAGGGTATCAACAAATTACAACGCTATGAATTACAAGGAAAGTAAATGTGCATAATATATCACTGGGGACATTTAATTTATTTTGCCAATTGCAGTTTTAAATTATGACAGTCATACTACTCTATATAGTACAATATAAAATTTAAAAACAATGACATTTTAGAATTCCAGCAGATTGGAAAAGTCTCCCTGCTTGTGTACAGGCACACGTAGAGACAAACTCATTTAAAAGTTAAAAGGAACCCAAGGTCTACCCTGTGCTGCCACCCCCCACTCCCCAGCAGTTAAGTCTGTGGGGAGAGAAGTGGGGGTAAAGGGGAAGTTGGAACCCCATAAAGACGCCCAGGCTCACAACCCATGGACCACCTGCAGGAAACCAACCCCCAAGAAGAACATCAAAGTCGTGGCAAGCGAGCAAGAGCATCAATCGGATAATGCAGGTGGTGCAAACCAGGGGTCTTACCCTGAAATTGTTGGGGGGCAAGGCATTGGTCAAGCGGGAGCCTAAGCCCTACAATACCTACCAGTGATATTTTCCAATGAAATACTGAAATGATAACAGACTGTCAGCTTACTTTTGTTAAATTAACAGGCTAGAATCTGACCTTGGCATAATTTGATCAAATTAATTAAATTTAATACATTATATTAAAGTGAATGAATTAAATCTATTCACTTGATACTTACAATCCAGAAAAGGAAATTTTGCTTATGAAAACTAAAGAATGCCCTTCTGTGGAAATGCCTTGTCCTATATCTGCAGGATGATTGCGTGATAATACTTTTAGATCACTTACATTAGCTGATGCTCTAGTTCCACTGTTCTGTCCTTCCCACATTTTCATAGAAACCCGTGCTGGGTTAATATTTTTAATGATGTTGTTATCTTCAGAAATAATACTAACCATAAAATCTGAAAAATAGATCAAAGAAAGCATTATTTTTCTTCAAGAACAGTGTGCATAAAATAATGCAGTTATTGTCCTTGTGTCTACACAATTTTTTATTTCTAGATAGATGACAAAATGAAAATAAATGAGGATTTAGGATATATTTAAGTTGTGGCATGGAAGTCTAACTGACCTTTAAAAAAGATCCTCACATAGAAAAAGAACTTTATTTAAGAGGAAACTCTTTGCTATCTATTGTGTAGGAGCCAGCCAATTATAATGCATGATCAATCTACATATTCAGGCACCTTTAAAGTCCTTGTAGTTTAATCCGAACATAATTCAAATGTTTACATAAAAAAGCCATGCAGGGAGCAGACACAGGAAGCAGGGACCCACCTGCTGTCACTGCTCTCCTCACCTGACCCAGGCACAGAGTGAGTGAGTGTGTGAGTGAGTGAGTGAGTGAGTGAGTGAGTGAGTGAGTGAGTGAGTGAGTGAGTGTGTCGGGGCGGGGGAGAGCCCCAAAGCCATAGGAAGCAGCTTCACAGGTTCCCAGGCTTGGTAGGGGACAGCACTGGTGGTGGGTGGTTTTTCTCTTCCAGGACCTGCTACCTCGCCATAGTCCCCTCTGGCCCATATCAGGTGAAGAACAATGAAATCCACCCACCATCGCTGCTATTGGTGTCAGCTAATGCAGGCATAAGGGAAACTCCAGAGCCATTCCAGCCCTGCTGTAGCTGAGGGCCACAGTAACTGGCTGCATGGATTTCTGGGCTCAGTTGGGGACAGCAGCTAGTGGTGGGTTTTTCCTACCAGCACCTGTTCCAAGCCAGCAAGGGACACAAGGAGATGGTGGAGAAATAGGTAAGAGGAGCAGGAAAGAGGACGGCTTCCCCCTTCCCCTCCCCAACCACGCTCCATACCATGTATAGCCACTCCTTAAAACCCCTCTGCTTACCAGGTGAGAGGAGTGGTTCTGGGGCTTCACCAGCACTCCCACACCCAGGCCAATCAGGAATAGTGACAGAAAGAGGCTAGTCCCCCTTCTAGAACCTGCTCTTTGCCCTGCCTCACCCCCAAGTGTCCCCTATTAGCCTGGAAGAAGCAATTAGCTATATAACAGGTCTGAAACCAAATACCATAGAAGTATAAAATGTAAACAATTAAAATAAGCCTTCATCACAATATCAGATAAAAAATACTATGATTGAGGCTTACTTTCTATTATATGCTTTTATATTCTATTTTTAAAACATTATATATAGCACTTGCCATTTGACAAAAATATCACCCTTCAAAATATAATCAGATATGACTGTGTTTGAGATATGAAGACTATTTGAAAGAACTCCAATACTGATGAAAATTAACACTGGAATATGTATAGCCAATCAAGACCTTGTTGAATCTTTTCCTTAATAGTAATGACTGTTATCAACTGTCCTTTTAGAAATGGTTGCTCAATATTTCTTTGGTCTATAAATTAAGGCTAATTTATTTAGCTCAGTTTTTAAGAATTCACCAAACTCCTTTCTTTACAATAGGTAAACTGGCCTGTATTGAAGGCCATGACAAAAGGCCTGGGGATTATAATGATTTCATGCTTCAATTAGTGTTCAGTCATTTGCTGAACTCTTCCAGATTTTCTTCAGGATCAGAGCAGATGAAGAATGATACTGACGAAAGCATCATGTAATTAACATTATACAGTGTTCTAATGAAATCAGAAATGCATTTGAAAATTTTAAAGCCGATTCTGTATTTCCCTTGGATTTTCTACCATAGGTTATAAGCAGTTTGGTGACTTGTATATGTGTAACATTCTATTAAGCAAATATAAAAGCATCCTTTTTACATGCATAGTTTCATTTCTCCTACTCATGGACAAAGGTTATATAAATGGATGTATGGATTAACAGTCAGATCCCATTCCTAGGATGAATTTGGCACATGGTCTAAGTGTCACAGCAGCAGCATGAAAAATGGGAAGAGGAGATCTGCTAGGGGAGCCTGAATTCCATTAATTTGACTAATTAAAGTGTTTGCCACTAGGAAATCTTCTGTGCTGAATGCATGTGTCCTGTAAGTTGAGGCAGGTCACCCAAACCACAGGATCTAATGAGAATATGGACTGGAAAGAGTTACCATGAGACAGCTGGTGAAGGAAATAAATATGTTTAGTTGTCCAGGACCCAGTAAAGGTCACCAAACTCGGAATAATAAATTAAGGGGAATAAAAGTTCTTTTCTCTGAATCCCAGTAGAACTGGTTCTATCACGCTGACTTGTATCACAGGCTCTTGTGTGAGTGTGATTCTTCCAAGAACAGTCCATGGAACCAGCCAGATATGATATAATGTGGGATAAAAGTATTGAAAAAAATCAACAAGATAAATCATCATAAAAATACGTTTTTTTTCAGTGGTGAAAAGCTGTATTTGAACGGCTGGTTTCCAATATTTAAGAAAAAAAATAAAAGGAAAAAAAAAAATCCCACAAAAACCTTTTACTTACCAGGGAAGGTACTTCCTGCTACAAAAGAAGCAGTTTTGTCATACTTAACATTCAAGCGTACAGGTTTCTCAGGGTCAGGCAGGACATTTATCTTGATTACAGGGCAATTTAATATGCCCTTGCTGTATGAGGCTTTAAGATGTAAAGAATGTTCTCCCCTGTATACAGTAATCATATAACAAGCAGTTAAAAACTGAGCTAAATAATATACAGTATGTCAGTAGCACTTTTAGAGAAAAAAAAATCAGTGCATTGTGATCAAGGAAATAATATGCTCTACAATAACTTGCTTCCCTTTCAAGGAATTTTTTCCTCTCAAATCTCTATTATTGATAACAAAGTTATAGTAAAGACAAAACACGAGTATATATGCAAGGTCAGAAACATCACAGCTCAAAAAGCCCAGAATTTAGAATATTCCCACAACTTTAAACTGTATCATGTTAAAAAAATTGCATTATTGCTAATTTTTGTGTCTTTTGCTATGTTGTTTCTGCCAAATTCACCAATTTTCAGCCTACTTTTCCAATAACTGAACTGCTGGCAACTTTGATTTCATTAGGGCTAGAAGAGGGTAGAGAATAAGGAAAGCTATTTAAAACATCACGTGAAGGAAGACTGCTCTATACTACCTCCCAGTTCCTCCTAGTCACAAGAGTAAGACCAAATACAGGCTTTTCCCCATAACAATATACATTGAGACTATTAGGTTTCAGTATGCCATTTAACTTTATGAGAGAGAGAGAGCGGAGGTATAACAAGTATAAATCATTACAGTAAAGATTTCAAATTTACCCTTGTAGTCTACTTATAATATTGTACATACTTAAAATCTTCATGACTCAAACATCAAAACACCAAGATAAAAATGCAGACAAACTTACTGATATAAAACATTGTAAGAGTTAAAGCAATTAGCAGGTTTCTAAATCCCACCCCCAAAAGCTTTTACAGAACATGGAGCTCTGTTGGCTTTTTTCAATTTATTGAGAATTGCATCTGATTAGTTAATGTCCTTTGACCTGACCGTATCAAACCTCACTGCTCTTAAGGAGACAAGTTAGTCTGTATGGAATACTGATGTCCTTGAAAATTAGAAAAAAACTACTGTAGATAATAAGGAGAAAAAAAAAAGCCAGCTGCAGTTACTGACAAGCAGGTGAGGCTTCCTACCTAAAAAAAAAAAAAAAAAAAAAAAAAAAAAAAAAAAAAAAAAAAAAAAAAAAAAAAAAAAAAAAAAAAAAAAAAAAAAAAAAAAAAAAAAAAAAAAAAAAAAAAAAAAAAAAAAAAAAAAAAAAAAAAAAAAAAAAAAAAAAAAAAAAAAAAAAAAAAAAAAAAAAAAAAAAAAAAAAAAAAAAAAAAAAAAAAAAAAAAAAAAAAAAAAAAAAAAAAAAAAAAAAAAAAAAAAAAAAAAAAAAAAAAAAAAAAAAAAAAAAAAAAAAAAAAAAAAAAAAAAAAAAAAAAAAAAAAAAAAAAAAAAAAAAAAAAAAAAAAAAAAAAAAAAAAAAAAAAAAAAAAAAAAAAAAAAAAAAAAAAAAAAAAAAAAAAAAAAAAAAAAAAAAAAAAAAAAAAAAAAAAAAAAAAAAAAAAAAAAAAAAAAAAAAAAAAAAAAAAAAAAAAAAAAAAAAAAAAAAAAAAAAAAAAAAAAAAAAAAAAAAAAAAAAAAAAAAAAAAAAAAAAATATATATATTACAAATTTCCACTTCAGGGCCTACTCTGGGCTATGAAAATAATGTTTTTTTAAAATACTATACTACCACTACTATACTAGTAAACAACATTTTGTGGGGTTAACTACCTCTAAGAATACTACCAACCTAAAAAGCCTGGCTGCTGGTTAAGGCTAACCTAAAGGCAGGCACATTTAACATGGTTAAAGATGTTAGTCCCCTACTATAGTATATTGCAGTTAAAATGTGCATGCATTCATTTTTTCCTAATTAAGAACTCCTTCCCCCCAAAAATATGAACACTACTCTCCCTCTCAGCAGACATAAGGAATTAGTTACTAAATGCCATAGAAGAGTACTTACTTACCTAGGTGCATGAATACTAAAAACTCCAAGATTGGCCTTACCATTTTCATCTGTTTTATGTTGCTGGATGGTAGGAAGGATCTGTCAAGAAAATTATGTTTTTTTAAAATATACAATTACTTTGCTATTACATTACATCAAAAAGTAACTTTTCTTTATAAAGGATATTTTCTTGCACTTTAATTAACACCTGTCTTGTATTTTTGCGCTCTAGTTCTACACCTTTCCTGACTCCTCTAATTTAATGAAGATTATGAAAACAGATACATAAGTGAGTTAGCAAGAGGTAAATTAAGTCAAAGATTCACAATTCATCCTAAGGTTGTCAAGCTATTTAAATGACTGGTCAAATAATGCCAAATATTCCATGAATGCCCTAATGTAGATGGCAGTATGCCTCTTGATTGTAACATGGTAGCAAGAGCAGGAGGGAAGGCCCTGAAGTATTAGCCCTATAGGAATTCAGGCATCCCTTCCTCTCCTTCCCCACCCCCGCCCCAGCTCCTATCTGAATATATGCATAAGAACGTAAGAATTGTCATTTACTGAGTCAGGCCACCATAGGTCAATCTTGTCCAGTATCCTGTGTTACAGTGGCAGATACAGGATGCTGAAATGGAGGGTGAACTGGGTATATGACCAGGATTTTTTCCACTGTTCCTCTCTCACTTGCAGTCTCAAGCATTTAAGGTCTAAGAAGTTCTAGTTCAGAGGCTGTATCCCTAAACCCCATATTCAATAGCTACTGATGCCCCTTTCCTCAAAGGACTGGACAAATTCTTGGGATGTAGAGCACCTCACCCTATATTCAGGAACAGGCACCTCAGGTCTGCTCCTTTCTTGCTAAGCTCCAGGGCTAGGGACAGAAGTTGCACATAACTGATAAGAAACTAGTTCAGATGTGTAACACAACAGAAGTTCAGTGCACATAAACCACTTTCAAAATGGCTGAAACCAGTTTAAGATAAACCTGGATGGATGTAGTATCAGACTTAACTGATTCAGGTTAAATCAGCTTACTGAACTTCTGTCCCAGACTGCCTCCAGATTCAAGTCCCCCAGCATCCCAGGTTGCTTTGTACCTCCCCTGCAAAACCAATCTCATGGGATGGACAGGCTAGCTTCGGCCCAAGCTATCTGCTGCAGTTGAGGGGGGAGATGTGCTTCTAGCCTGGGCCACTGCAGGCATGTGGCTGCATTTTCAGAATCAAAAGTGAATGTCTGTTCACTTGTTTACCAGTTCAATCTACGCAGCTTAGACTAACCTGCAAAGATTGAATCAATTCAGGCTTGGGCTTTTTGACCGTCTGTACTTAGCCCAGGAGAACTGGAGACACACCTCCTCTACACTGCTGGTTTTGGTGCCCTCTACTGGCTAGCTGCTGTAACTGCAAAAAGCTGTATTCAGTAGCATAAAAAGAGGGGAACCCTTGAAGTGGCACTGGTCATACAGCCCAAGAACTACCCTATGAACCCACTGCACTTGCTGCAAGAAGGAAGCCCCTCCCCCACCTCCATTCACATTATTTTTGAGATATTCATACATTACAGAGTATTACAGAAGCTAAAATCATTTGTGTGAAACCTGTTTTACTAGAAATGAACATGGAAAAACTGTTAAAGTTAGTGTAAGCCATAGCTTTTTCTTTGGGAAAAGATTTGTTGTTAGTATTCCAGCACTCGTAACTCCCAAAGCAGCAACCTTGTGCCAACAGGTGAGACACTGGACTTGAGCAAAACAGCAACCATGCTTCAAAAGGGGAGGGGGAGCTGCTGCTGCTCAGGAACCATCAGCTGCTGTTACACTCTAAATGCTTTGTGTACACAAGCCTGTAACACCACAAATGAATTAAATCACCCCAACTTTAACCTTGGATTAAGAATTTATATGGATACAGGCTCCTTTACCAAGCAGTTAGAGCTGTGCAGCTTGGAGCAGAAACTCCCCCTCCCCTTTTGAAACTTTTCCACGTGAACATTTATCCATACCTCTAAGGTAAGGACTACTTTGGCAAAAAGAGGCAGTTTCAGAAGCAGTCCCCAATAGCAATGTTTTATGAAAGTACGAACTGAACTTTAAAGAGAAGTGCTACAGATCTCAGAGATTTGTGTATTCCTAGAGGAATATACAAATGTCTAAAGGAAGCTACAGATGCAGGCTGAATTGTGGTAGAATGAGATTCTATCTAAAGGGAAGGATCAGGTTTAGCTGCTCAGTAACAGACTGATGAATTCTGTTATCCATTTGGATGACATCTGGGAAAAGACTCCTTCCCTTTTTACTCTTCCAGTACAAAACTTAGTACTCTTGAGGAAACTCTAAACAAACAAAAAGGCAGTATTCTCAGAATATTGTAAAGCATTTCATTTTATTTCAGGATGGCTGAAATGAGATTTGGGGAAGAAAACAGATAAATGAATGGTTTGAGTTATATATAAAAAAAAAAAAAATCAAAACTACTTTAGGAAGAAAGCTTAGATGAGGTCTAAGAAAATCCTTATCTCTGGGAAAATAATATACGGAGGACTACTCATTAAAGCTTGAATTTCTCTCATCTAACCACCGTGGAAAAAGGATGAGAACAAATGGCTACTGCTTCACATGCAGGGGCCATTAGACATGCTAATACCATATTAAGATCCCATAATGGAAAAGGTTTCCTGACCTGAAAGGAAACATGTACTTAAAGCTGTCAAAAAACCTAAAACCTGCATAGTGTGAAAATACTATGCCAGATTCTGAATTTGTAGATGATAGGCAGATACAGCTGCTAGAGAAAATTTGGAGAATCTAGCTGATTTTAATCATAGCAGAAAATGCAAGGTGAATAATGTCCAGTGGAAAGGATGCCATATGGTACAGTTAGGTCCAAATAATGTCTCTATTTGACATTTTACTTTACATTTATTTGACATTTTCTCTATTAAAATAGTTTGGACATCATTGCAAGATACAGACATGTTAAGTCTGGATGAAGTATTTTCCCTTCATCTTTGGGAGTAAATCCAAGAGAGAAGATAATGATACTAGAATGTGAACCATACTCCCAACAGGTCTAGAAACTGACTGGATGGGGGACACTGGCACAATTACTATGATTACTGAATCTCTCAGAATTCAGAGAATTAGATTTTATGCATAAAGGAGGCTCACTTCAGTTTGGTCAGAAAAGCACTGGAGAGAGTGCCCAGATTTCTGACTTACTCTTCAGCAAAAGATGCTGCAATGAAGTTTTAGTTTGCTACAAAATCTTTTCCATAGTAGTAAAATTATGACTAAACCTTCTCTATTTTGATTGTAGGTTGACAAATATCTGTTTGGATCAAAAAGACATTGATCTGGAACCAGGAAAAGATTTATATTCTTTCTGGAAGCTAGCAATTTGTGGGGGCTTTTTCTTTAT